AATAATCAGACATACTCCTTGGCCTATGTACATGCTATTAGTCCAGCAGAAAGACAGTCAAACAGGAGAGGATCTAGGATTGATATTTCAGGGGTAGAGTAAGGCCCTTGAAAAGGAATCAGTACTGGGAGGGAAGAGATTACCATTTTATTTTCTTTTTCTCCACTCTCCTCTTTCCACTGTCTCCTTCCCTCTTTCCCTCCCTTTCTCACTCTCCTCTGTTTCTTTTTCTCTGTTTCTTCTTTTATTGAAACAATCCCTACTGAACTTCTTTCATCCAGCTTCTGTCCCCATCACTCTATTAAAATTGTCCCCTCATAGTTTATCAGTGAACTGCAAACCACCAAATCCAATGGCGTTTATTTCAGTTCTTATCCTCAAACTCTCGAAAGCATTTGACCCTGCTGACCTCTCTGCTCCTCCTGGGTACTATCTTCTCTTGGCTTTTACAATACCATACCTTGCTATTTCTGTTACCGTCATCATCTTTACAACCACCACCACCTTCCCATTGTTCTTTCTCAGGTCCCCTCTTTTTTGTCATTTGACTTCCTGTTCAATATATAAAGAGCAATGGAGATAACACCTCCTCCCCCATGAAGCTTTTTTTTTTCCATCTTCTCTGCTTGTAATAGCTTCTTCCCCTGGGCACCTAATTTTTTTTTTAATGGGACCTATGATTTTATTGATGTAGGGAGTTCCTGGTGAAGAATTCTCTCTACCAATGAAATTAGCAGCTGCTCTGCAACTTAATCATCTTAAAGAAGATTCTTAAAGAATCTTAAGATTCTTAAAGAATCTTAAGATTCTTAAAATTTTCCTTTACAAAGGAGAACGGTTTTATACTAGAAATTAAAGAACAAAAATAACTAACAGGGAGTTGAAATCCAAGATAAGCTGAAATCGAACATAAATAAATCCAAGAAAAGACACTAAGAGAACACCTAGCTGCCCTCAATGAAGTCAAGTCACTTGGCCCATCGTGGAGTCCTGAACAAACTGGCAGAAGAAATTAATGAACTACTGTCAGTGGTACTTGAAAGATCATAGAAAATGAAAAAAGTGAGATTTGGCAATGGCCAATGTCATCCTGATTTTTAAAAAAGGGAAGACTACAACTACAAACCAGTAAGGTAGACTTCAGTTTCTGAGAAAATTATAGAATGGACCACTAATGAGATGGCTGATGAGTATCTAGGAAAGAGAGTGGTAATTACAATGAGCCAACAGGGCTTTATCAAGAACAAGTCATGTCAAATGAATCTCACTTTTTGACAGGATTACTATAAGCTAGTAGATGAGGAGAAGTACATGGATAGAGCTTATTGAGATTTTAGTAAAGCTTTTGATAAAGAATCTCATACTCCTTTGCAGAGGAATCATAGATATAGATTATATGATAATATAGGTCAGATGGATTCAGAGCAGTTTTAATGGCTGAACTCCAAGATCAGCCATTAAAGGTTCTATATCAACATGGCATAAGGTCTCATATGGAGTGCCCCAGGGACTGGTGCTTAGCCCGGCCCTGTTTAACATTTTTATCAGTGACTTGGAGAAGAGTATAGATGATAAGCACATCAAAGTTGCAGATGACACAAAACTGAGAGGATAGATATCACAATGGATGATAAGAGAGTCCGAATCCAAAAGGATCTGGACAGATCAAAGCATTGAGCTGAATCCAATAAGATGACATTCAACAGAAATAAATATAAAATCTTGCAGTTGGATTTGAGAAATCATCTTCCCAAGTCTAAGATGGAGGAGGCATGTGTGGACAATAGCTGTTCTGAAATGGATCTGGGAGTTTTATTGGCCCGCAAACTTCAAAGGAATGAATAGTGTGACGTGGGAGCTAAAGAAGGTAATGCCATTTTGGGCTACATTAAAGGGGTATAGCTTCCAGAAATAGGGAGGTGGTAGTGCTCTACTACTCTGACTTCATTAGACTTCATCTGGAGAATTGTATTCAGTCCTGAACATCACAGTTTAAGGAGAACATTGATAAACAAGGGAGTATCCAGAAAAGAACAATCAGGATAGTGAAGGACCTTGAATCCAAGTTAAAAGAAATAAAGGAAGGAAGGAAAGAAGGGAAAATAAAGAAAAGGACACAAACATTTTTAAGCTCCTACTATGTGCTAGGCACTATACTAAATGTTTTACAAGAATTATCTCATTTGATCCCCATAATAATCCTAGGAAGCAGTTGCTATTATTATCTTTATTTTAGAGTTGAGGAAACTGAGACAGACAGAGGTTAAGTGACATGCCCAAGGTCACGGAGCTAGTAAGTGTCTGAGGCTGGGGTTGAATTAAGGTCTTTATGACTCTAGGCCCAGCATCCTCTACCCACTGTACCACCTAGCTGCCTCCTAATGCTGACACGTACACTGGTTGAAGAAACTGAGTATATTAAGCCTGAAGAAGCAAAGACGCAGGGGAATATAATAGCTGTCAATTATTTGAAGGCTTGTCATGTGAAAGGGGGTATACATTTATGCTGTTTGCCCCCAAGAAGGCAGGGTTAGGAGCAAAGAGTGGAAAAAACTTACATGGATTTTATATTGGAGGCTGGAGGAAGAACTTCCTGAAAATGAGAGCTACCCAAAAGTAGAAGGGCTGCCTTCAGAGAAAGAGGGTTCCCCCTTCTTGAAAGTCTTCAAGCAGAGCTTGGCCTGCTACTCATGGGGCAGGGTATAATGGGAATTCCTTTTATATATAGGTGGGACCTGATGTTCACTAGACGGAATCCTTTCCAACTCTCAAAAGTTCTGTGATTTTGTTAGGTACTCATAAGTGATTCACCCAGGCTCACAAAGCAAATATGTGTCACAGTCAGGATATTAGACTTCTCTACTATTTAGTTTAATTTTTCTAACATGAATCTTTTTTTTTCTTATTTGATTGTAAGATCCAAGAGAATAAGAACCATAATTTATTTCACCTTCATATCTATCCAGCTCCTATGTCCTGTGTCCAGTACTCTGCACATAGTAAGTGCTTAATTAAGGTTTGTTCAATTGAATAGTAGAATTGAGAGTTACCTGGGCCATTGATTCTTGAAGATCTTTTTGGATCTTGACTCTCTTATCATCTAATGTGATACCTAGCCATAAATATAATTTGTGACTTGTCTACTAGAAAGGGAAGAAAGGTGATAACAGAAAGAATCTCAAAAGTCAAGAGATTTCCTTCTCTTTTTCAGGGAGCTCCAAACATGAATGTAAAGTCAGTCAATTGGCCCATCTGGGCAAAATGCCCAAATGAGATTTTCTTTAGCAACTGTAAAAATACCTCATCAGTATCACAAGTCTGGGTTAATCCAATGTAGATTTTTTTTTCAGGAGGTTTTAATTCCTTTCAATCTCACCTAGCAGTAAAATGTCTCAGGTTGACCAGAAAGCTCACTAACTAGAAAGCAGCATCAAGTCATCCAATACATTGGAAGGGTGTAGGGAAGGAAAAGAAACAATGACGAGAAGTGGAAAAGTAATATCAATAATTCAAAAACAGTGGAGTTTAAACAATGTGCTTTGCCCAGAGATAGCTACATAAAATGTGTGGGCTAAATCTCAAATGTCTTCCAAGGTACCTAAAGTCCAGTGCTATTCTTCTCAAGATATAGTCTGAAGCACTCTCTACATATTATTTCTCCAACATGGGTATTCTTTGTTGTTTCCTCATAATAATTCTCCTATGAGGAACAATTATTATACCCCTTTTACACATGAGGTGACTAAGGCTTTGAGATATTAAGTCACTTGACCATGGTGGCACAGCTAGTAAGTGTTTGAGGCAGGGTTTGAACACAGATATTGTGACTCCAAGTCAAGCATCTTACCATTATACTAGACTGTCTTCTAACTAAGTGAATACAAGGTAACTTTGGAAGGGATAAGGTTTCTAATAATTGGGAGAAACTATGAGATATCACTGGGGCAGTAAAGTGGTGCAGCGGATAAAGTACTGGCGGCCCTGGAGTCAGGAGGACCTGAGTTCAAATCTGACCTCAGATACTTACTAGCTGTGTGACCCTAGACAAGTCATTTAACCCCTATTGCCTAAAAATAAAAAAAAAATAACAAAAAAGAAGGGATACTTCTTTCTCAGGAACTGGAACAAAGGAGGAGAAAACAGAGGACAATGTAGAGGGATTTTGAACTTTGGGTAGGGGAAAGAAGGATTTTCACAGAGGATGGCTTTGATATTGTCATTAAAACAGAAATTGAAGAGAGAGTCTCTGCCAAAGAAAAGGACAAGGAATCAAGTTGGGGGCTTAAGGAGAGAGTAATATGTTGGGCTCAGCTGTGTGAAGTTCAATAGATAGTCAAATAAGGAAGAAAAAAAAAGATTATTCTGTAGCAACGGGCTCAACTAGCATTATGTGGTGAGCTCATTCAGGCATTTTCAGCAGCTCAGGAATAGGATCAGAGAAGAATAATGGAGGCAATTCATGGTTGAGATATGGAAACGTGTGAGTGTTTTTAGGGTGAAGGGTTCAAGGGTAGTATACAGGAGACAGTTGAACTTGTCACTTCAAATATCGAGAATGGTATCACCCCTCTTCAGTTTATATATCTGTGGAGATGTTATTGTTATTTAGAACCTCTATTTAGGGGGTGATGGAGAGAGGTAGAAAAAGAAGCTGAAACTCAAATTGGCCAAGTCTGTTGTCGTTTTTTTTGTTGTTGCTTTTTTTTTTTTAGCAACTCTGACAAATGGTTTGCTTGGGGAGAAAATGAAAGAAACCCAATGGAGAAAATAGCTCTTTTTTGATCATCTGAGGGTTTTCATTAGCGCAGATCATCAATGGCGTGTTGGCTACTATTTCTAGTCCATCCAAAAAGCCCTGGGTATTCACATCCAATATTGTTAGAATTTTAAAACAACGATTGCATCTCCTTTCAGCTGCTTATTAATTTTAGCATGTCACTTATGCTAATGTTTAGTTAGCAAATATTTAATCAGCTCAGATGGCCAAAAGAAGGTTTTACCTGCTGGTAAAAGTCAGCGCTAATGCCGTTGCCAAATGAGGCATCAATCGGAGGTACTGCGTTTGGTGTTCAATGATCTTGACTTCTTCCTTGGCCTTGGGCCCAAACTGCCTCCGGCTAGAAGTAGTAAAAGCAAACATGATATTTTATTGAAATCCAAAAGACAAAACCTTTGTGTTTCTGGTGAGACAAGTGAACAGACAGTGTGAAACTGTTGCAAAAGTCAAACAGCAGCCTATTTGTCTTCCAAAATTGCTTAGAAATAGAATCTAAGGGTGTCTTTCAAAATTTGATTTAAAACAATTAAAAATCATAAAGTCTCCCCTTCCCCCAACACGTACAGAACAACAGCACCTGAAGATGGGTCAAAAGGACGCTTTTTAATGTTTTCCTCTACATACAACCCTTTCCCTCCATTTCATGGGCAAAGTGATTTTTATTGCTTAACATTTATATGGCATTTGATAGTTTCCAAGTGCCTTATGATCATTAATTATTCGGCTTAACTAACTTTGTGACATAATTAAGAGGATGGTAGTGATATTCTAGAGCGTATTTCAAAAGGACATTCTCAGAAGGAAACCAACTTTAACCCTGGTGTTCCTGTCAAATTCAAATACAGGTCATTATTTTCAGCCTCCCTGAGGCCACCCCTGTGGTTTCAAGTGGAAAAGGTATTCTTCACTTCCTGTCTTCAATTACTGTTGAGTCTCTCCCATGCCCTATAAAACAGCTGCTGTGCTTTCCTCTCGAGGTAGGTATGTCAGGGGTGAATACAACCATTCCAGCAATGAGTTTATAAAATATCAGGAGATCTTTTGCATGAAAGGTGCTCTATCACTGTAGGTCATGATCATTAGTGAGCAAATGTTTAAATGAACTTTCATAAAACCCCCAGGGCTGCTAGGAACTTTGAGGGGGTCATCGAATCTGTGCCCCTGCCTCTCTCTCAAAGCCCTAAACCTAAAGCATATTGTTTCTGAGTAGGTAGGATCTGGATATTTAAAAGGAGTAATCACAACATGAACAAGAACAGAATATTTCATATCTATTCATCATCTTTCTCAGAAAGCCATTTAAATACTGTATTCTACGGGGACATTTATTTCCTTGTAATAGCTAAGCTATGACCCAAGTCAATCAATAAATCGATCAATTAACAAGTATTAAATACTTGTTACATTTAATAGCAGTATGATTCATGGGAATTAGTATGGTTGATTAGTTAGCAATTAATAATATTAAGCAAACACTATATGCCAGGAACTGTTCTGGGTACTGGCGATACAAAGACCCACAAAAAGCTTATTGGGCCTATGGGGAAGACAACATTTAGATAAACAGACAGACAGACAGACAGACAGACAGATAGATAGATAGATAGACAGATAGATAGATGAATGAGTATGTATACACACAAAGTAAAATTAAATAAATAAAAAACAAATGTTTAAAAATGCTTACATTGAGAAAAAATAAAAAATTTAATGTTAAAAATATTACTAGCAACCCACATTTATGGAGTACTTTAAAGATTATAAAGTATACTCAAAGAAGTATTTCCTATGTGGGGATAAAAATCTATTAAATTATAGTCAGTGTACTCTTCCATAGTATCATATCTGTACACTTCAGGTAAAAAGCAATTACAAAGGATGTGATAAATCTTAACACCTTAAAAAAAACAATACTACTTTAACATGACATGTTGTATGATATCTTCCCAAGTTCCCCTGTATTGGAGGGACCTAGTTTTCATTGGTTCACTGTATTTCATTCACTAATCAAAGCTGGACTTCCCTTCCCAGTAATCTTGTCATTATCCTCCTCTGCGTTTAGGAATATAAACCCCATTCAGAGACAAGACACAGTCAAGGTTTAAACTGAACAGAATCAGGGAAGGTTGCTGAGGGCTAGGAAGACAGCGTTCACTGTGTCTTAGATCTGGTCCTTTTCATTTGAGGGTGATGTGAAGAAGTTAAGGAACAAATACATTGTCAGATGTTTTGGGGAGAGGGAGATAATCCTCTGAGAAGTCATCTCACCAGCCCCAAAACTTTCAGACCTCTCAAAGCAGCCTGTTCCCTACTGTATAGATTATTCAACAGACGAAAAGAATGTGCTGTAGACAAGGATGACATAAGAAGTCCATAGCAAAGTCAAAAGGAGCACTCAGAGGTCTCAATTCAATTGCCTTCCTTGCTTTTAGACCGACCATGAGGAAGAAAAGAGAGGGGACAAAGCTAACCATCCCATGCCATCCCAAGTGGGCTAGCCTGCCATATGCTCACTCCTGGAACCTCAGCATCATCACAAGAACAACTGCTTATGTTTCTATAGCACTGAGTTGACAAAGCACTTTCCTCACAACTATTCTGTAAGATGAGGCAACTAGGTGATATAGTGGAGGGAGTGAGGAATTTAGAATTAGCAAGAATAGAGTTCAAATCCTGTTTCAGACACTTAATCTCAAGGGCAAAGGCAGGGTGTTTACAGATGAAGGAATGAAAATACACCTATTAGTGGATGACTGAGTGAATGAAAAAAATGCATTTTAAATGTTTTCTACATCCAAAGCTAAGTGCTGGGGATAAAAATGGAAAAATAAGAAAACTCCTGCTGTTAAGGAGTTCATGTTCTAATAGGAGAAGGCAGCACATCTAGGAAAGTTGGCTTCTGGGAAGACAGAAAGAGTAAGTCTCCCCTAGTATAGACAAGATATGGTTTTTATTGTCATTTCATGAATAAAATCATGTCCACTTCTGAGGTTGTGCCTTTTGACAATGCCTAGGACTAGGGTGGCAAGAACTTTCTTTTATATACCCTTCAGTATCTGTAGATGTAGAAAAACAGGGGTCACTTTTTAGGAAGATGGTTATTGGGAGCAGGCTGCTAGTAGGGCCAGTGATGTGTGTGGGGTGCTGCGATTCTTAGAGTGCTTGGGTGTAGGGTTCTAGGTCTGAGACAGGTGGTGGTTGAATTACTGAGGATGATTTGGTCCATCTGGGAACACCTCCTGCCTTGTCCTCACAGTGTCTTAACTGCTTCGATGTTATTGAAAGGTCAAAGATAAGGATGGGAAGAAGAAGAAAAAGTTATCGGATTTAGCAAAGAGGTCATTGGTAAACTTGGAGAAAGTGTTTTCGATAGAATTAAAGGGGGAGGAAAAACCAGATTACAAGAAGGAGTTAATGACTAGAATAGAAAGATGGGAGGAGAAGATAACTCCACAAGTTGTGAAGGAGAGGAGTTTATTTTATTTCAATATTAAATTCATGTAGGCTCAGACTTATTGTTCTTAAAAATTTGTTGCTCACACTGGATGACTGTCCACTTATTTCTTCAATACACCAAATACCTGTGATGAGTACTCCTTCCAACTTCATACTGAGATCGAATCCTATTTCAGACACTTACTAGCTGTGTAGACTTGGACATTTAACCTCTATCTCAGTTTCCTTACCTGTAAAATGGAGTTAATCATAGTACCTTCCTCCTTCATGGTTATTGTGAGGTTATTATGAGAAAATATGCAAGGTTCTTTACAAACCTTAAAGCACTATATAAATGTTAGTTATCATTGTTATTAACTTACGTAGTACTTTATTACTGCCATTTTCCAAGCGGGAAAACAGGCTCAGAAAAGTTAAACAATTTGCCCCATATCACAGAGTTAATATTTTAGCCAACATTTTAACCCAGGTGTGCTTACTCTAAGTACACCATCTTTCCACACTCTTCCATCAACATAGTATTGGATTTTGGTTCACCTTATTTGCTAATGCAGAAGACAATCTTTCTTTTTAGCAATTATGTTGAAAGTGGCATGCATATTAAGGCTGTACCATCTTTCTCCCCCCACCCCATACTGAAGAAAGAAAAGCATGGTATCAGGGAGTGACACAGTACCCCAAATTTTCCCAGAGAGACTCCATCAGCATCAGCACCATTATCATCACTAGCATTTATATAGTGCTTTGGGCCAGCTCGGTGGCATAGTCGATAGAGTGCAGGGCCTGGAATCAGGAAGACTCATCTTCCTGAGTTCAAATCTGGCCTCAAAAACTTACTAGCTTTGTGATCCTGGGCAAGTTATTTAACCCTGTTCCTCTCAGTTTCCTCGTTGTAAAATGAGCTGGAAAAGGAAATGGCAAACCATTCTAGTATCTTTTCCAAGAAAACCCCAAACTGGGTCACAAAGAGTCAGATATGACTGAAAAACAACTGAATAAAAACATATAGTGTTTTAAGTTTTGCAAAGCACAAATATTATCTCATTTGATCCTCATGACAACCCTGGGAGGAAGATGCTAGTATTATCCTCATTTTACAGATGAGGAACTGAGGCAAACAAGGCTGAGTGACTTGCTCAGCAGGATCACATAATTAGTAATTATCTGAGGTCAAATTTGAACTCAAGTCTTCCTGACTCCAAGTCACCACTCTACCCAAATGTTCAGATGAACTATAAGAAAACTTTCTAAAATATGGAGACCCAAACTAGACCTCTGCAAGGTATTTCACCCCAGAGCCTCAGAAGTTGTTGGGAACAAGTCTGGTTGGCCATCTGCCGGAGCTGCAACTCCTGACAGAACCCTGGATCTGCTACAGGAAGAAGGAACAAACCCTTGGGTTGTTTTCACTCTGCCACAACCACAGGGGAAGGAGTGTCCTCTCCCCTCTCCCATCAGATTTACCAAAGGAACAAATAGTGTCTGCTCTGGGGTGAAATGTACATGTATGGAAAGTAAAAGGAGGACTTACTCCTAGGGAAACCTAAGTCTTCATAGGTTTGTGGGAAAAGAAGGAATGAAGTACACCTCAGGTCTATCACCTTAAAAGACAACCCATGGTAAAGGCAGGCATTGCAATGGCCCATCTTTTAAAGGCAGGCTGTTCAGAGCTGGAAGAGGAAAGGGCTCATCCTGCCTTGCTCTGATGAAAAAGACTGATGAAGATAACTGAAGGATATGTACCACTCTCTCTGAGGAACTTAACAAGATCCTCCAAGTTAACCAATATGCCTTGTTATGTTGGGGCATTCAAATGAGATGTCCGGCAACTCACGAATCAAGGAAAAATCAAGGGAATGAAAAATAAATATTGCTAACAATCTC